GGAGCCTTTTGATGATGTCTTTAAAGCTTTCTAGGTACAGAGTCATATCATTAGTAAAGAGAGGTAGTTTGATTTCTTTTCCTATTTGGATGCCTTTTAAATCTTTCTTCTGACTGACTGGTGTGGCAAGAACTTCCAGTATTATGTAGAATAGGAGAGGTGAGAGTGGGCTTCCCTGTTTTGTTCCAGTTCTCAAGGGGAATGCTTCCAGTGTTTGCCCTTTCAGAATAATGTAGGCTATTGGTTTGTCACAGATGGCTCTTATTATTTGGTGTATGTTACTTCAATGACTAGTTTCTTGAAGTGTTTTTTATCATGAAGAGATGTCAGATTTTTATTAAAGGCTTTTTCCACATCCAGAGAAATGATCATATGGTTTTTGTTTTTAATTCTGCTTATGTGGTGAATTGCATTTATTGATTTGCATGGATTGAACACAGCTTGCATCCCAGAAATGAAACCTACTTGATCATGGTGAAATAACTTTTGATGTATTGTGTTCGGTTTGCTACTATTGAGAATTGTTGTATCTATGTTCATAGAGGATATTGGCCTGTTGGCCTGTAGTTATTTTTATTCATTGCGTTCTTGCCAGGTTTTGGTATGAGAGTGATGCTGGCTTCATAGAATGTGTTAGGGAACAGTCCCCCATTCTCGTATTTGTTGGTATTTGTTGTCTCCTCCTCCTCCTTCCTCTTCCTTTTTCCTCCTCCTCCTCCCTCCTTCTCCTCCCTCCTCCTCCTCCTCCACCTCCTTCCTCCTCCTCCTTCATCCTCCTTCTCCTCCTTCCTCATCTTCCTTCCTCCTCTTCCTTCCTCCTCCTCCTCCTTCCTCCTCCTCTTTCATCCTCCCTCTTCTCCTTCTTCCTCCTCCCTTCTCCTCCCTCCTCTTCCGCCTTCCTCCTCCTTCTTCATCCTCCTTCTCTTCCTTCCTCCTCCTTCCTTCTCCTCCTCCTTACTCTGCCTCCTCCCTCTTCTTCCTTCCTCCTCCTTCCTCTTCCTCCTCTTTTCTCTTTTTCCTTCTTTCTCCCCTTCCTCTTCCTCCTTCCTTCTCTTCCTCCTTCCTCTTCCTCTTCCTTCCTCTTCTTCCTCCTCCCCATCCTCCTCCTTCCTCCTCCCCATCCTCCTTCCTCCTCCTCTTCCTCCATCCTCCTCCTCCCTCCTATTCCTCCTTCCTCCTCCGCCACTGCCACTGCCACCTTTGCCTCCTTCTTCCTCTTCTTTCTCCTTTCTTCTTTCTTTTTCTTCTTCCTCTTCCTCTTTCTTCTTTCTTCTTCTTCTTCCTGCTCCTACTCCTTCTGTTCCTCCTGCTCCTTCTGCTTCTCCTGCTTCTCCTCTTCCATTTTCTCCTCCTCCTTCTCCTTCTGTTTCTTCTTCTTTCTTTTTTCTTTCTTCTTTGGAATAGTTTCACTAGAATTGGTCCAAGCACCTTTTTGTATGTCTGGTAGAATTTAGCTATGAATCTGTCTGGTCCAGGGCTTTGTTTGGTTGGTAGTTTTTTTCTTTTAAATATTGATCAAATTTCAGTATACAATATTGGTCTCTTTAGAGTTCAATATCTTCCTGATTCTATCTTGAGTGGTTGTATGATTCCAAGAATTAATACATTTCCTCTAGATTTTCTAATTTGTGTTCATAGAGGTTTTCATAAAAGTCTCTGGGAATCTTTTGTATTTCTGTGAGGACAGTTGGTATGTTACATTTGTGATTTCTGAATGTGTTTACTTGGACCCTCACTATTTGTTTCTTCATTAATCTGGCTACCATCTTTCTACCTTACTTATTCTTATTTAAAAAAACCTTTTCAATTATTGACTCTTTGTATGAATTGTTGAGTCTCAAAATTATTCATTTTGGATCTGATTTTAGTTATTTTCTTTTTTAAAAAATTTATTTATTATACTTAAAGTTTTGGAGTACGTGTGCAGATTGTGCAGGTTTGTGGCATAGGCATACAAATACCATGGTGGTGGTTTGCTGCATCCATCATCTACATAAGATATTTCTTCTAATGCTATAACTCCCCAATCCCCCCACTGCTATTCCTTTCCTAGACCTCCACCCCTAGGCCCTGGTATGCAACATTCCCCTCCCTGTATCCCTGTGTTGTTACTGTTCAACACCCACTTATGAATGAGAACATGCAGTGTTTGGTTTTCTGTTCTCTCAGTGTGCTGAGAATGATGGTTTTCAGCTTCATCCATGTCCCTGCAAAGGACAATGAACTCATCCTTTTTATGGCTGCATAGTATTCCAAGGTGTATATGTGCTACATTCTCTTTGTTCAGTTTATCATTGATGGGCATTTGGGTTGGTTTCAAGTCTTTGCTATTGGGAACAGTGCTGCAATAAACGTGTGAGCATGTGTCTTTGTGATAGAATGATTTATAATCCCTTGGGTATATACCCCGTAATGCAGTTGCCAGGTCAAATGTTATTTCTATTTCTAGATCCTTGAGGAATTGCCATATTGTCTTTCACAGTGGCTGAATTAATTTACACTCGCACCAACAGTGTAAAAGCATTCCTGCTTCTCCACATCCTCTTCAGCATGTGTTGTCTCCAGATTTTTTTAATGATCACACTTCTAACTGGTGTGAGATGATATCTCAATGTGATTTTGATTTACATTTCTCTAACAACCAGTGATGATGAGCTTTTCTTCACGTATTTGTTGGCTGCATAAGTGTCTTCTTTTAAAAAGTGTCTGTTCCTTATATTTTCCCATTTTACAAAGGGTTGCTTGTTTTTTACTTGAAAATTTATTTAAGTTCTTTGTAGATTCTGGATATTAGCCCTTTGTATAATGGGTAGTTTGGAAAATTTTTTTCCATTCTGTTGCTTGCTGGTTCACTCTATTGATAGTTTCTTTGGCTTTGCAGAAGCTCTTAACTTTAATTGGATACCATTTGTGTATTTTGGCTTTTGCTTCCATTGGTTTTGGTGTTTTAGCCATGAAGTCCTTGCCCATGCCTATGCTCTGAATGGTATTGCCTAGGTTTTCTTCTAGTTTTTATGGTGTTAGGCCTCATGTTTAAATCTTTAATCCATCTGGAGTTAATTTTTGTATAAGGTGTAAGGAAAGGATCCAGTTTCAGCTTTCTGCACATGGCTAGCCAGTTTTCCCAACACCATTTATTAAACAGGAAATCCTTTCCCCATTGCTTTTATCAGGTTTGTCAAAGATCAGATGGCTGTAGTTGCGTGGCATTCTCTGTCCTGTTCCATTAGTCTGTATCTCTGTTTTGGTACCAGAACCATGCTGTTTTGATTATAGTAGCCTTGTAACATAGTTTGAAGTCAGGTAGTGTGATGCCTCCAGCTTTTTTTGTTTGTTTGTTTGTTTGTTTTGTTTTGTTTTGTTTTGCTTAGGATTATCTTTACTATGCAGGCTCTTTTCTGGTTCTATATGAAGTTTAAAGTGGCTTTTCTCCAATTCTGTGAAGAAAGTAAATGGTAGCTTGATGGGGATAGCACTGAATCTATAAATTACTTTGGGCAGTATGGCCATTTTCATGATATTGATTCTTTCTAACCATGAGCATTGAATGTTTTCCATCTGTTTGTGTCTTCTCTTATTTCTTTGAAGTTTGTAGTTTTCCTTGAAGAGGTCCTTCACATTTTTCCTTGTTAGTTGTATTCCTAGGAATTTTATCCTCTTTGTAGCAATTTTAAATGGGAGTTCACTTATGATTTGTCTCTCTGTTTGTCTATTATTGGTGTATAAGAATGCTTGCTGTTTTCTCACATTGATTTTGTATCCTTAGACTTTGCTGAAGTTGCTTATCAGCTTAAGGAGATTTTGGGCTGAGATAATGAGGTTTTCTAAATATACAATCATGTCATCTGCAGACAGGGACAATTTGGTGTCCTCTCTTCCTATTCAAATACACTTTATTTCTTTCTCTTGCCTGATGGCCCTAGTAGAGAACTTCCAATACTATGTTAATAGTATTAACATAGTATTGGAAGTTCATAGTATTGGAAGCCAGAACTTCCAATACTATGTTAATAGGAGTGGTGACCGAGTGCATCCTTGTTCCAGTTTTCAAAGGAAATGCTTCCAGTTTTTCCCATTCAGTATGATATTGGCTGTGGGTTTGTAATAAATCGCTTTTATTATTTTAAGATATGATCCATCAATATCTAGTTTTGAGACATTTTAGCATAAAGCGCTGTTAAATTTTGTCAAAGGCCTTCTCTGCATCTATTGAGATAATCATATGGTTTTTGTCTTTGGTTCTGTTTAATGCATTACATTTATAGATTCGCTTATGATGAACCAGCCTTGCATCCCTGAGATGAAGCCAACTTGATTGTGATGAATAAGTTTTTGATGTAATGTTGGATTTGGTTTCCCAGTATTTTATTGAAGATTTTTGCATCACTGTTCATCTTGGATATTGGCCTGATATTTTCTTTTTTAGTTGCATCTGTGCCAGCTTTTCATGTCAGGATGATGTTGGTCTCATAAAATGAGTTAGGGAGGATTCCGTCTTTTTGTATTGTTTGGAATAGTTTCAGAAGGAATGGTACCCTCCTCTTTGTACCTCTGGTAGAATTCGGCTGTGAACCTATCTGGTCCTTGACTCTTTGGTTGGTAGGCTATTAATTGCCTCCTCAACTTCTGACCTTGTTATTGGTCTGTTTAGGAATTCAACTGCTTCCTGGTTTAGTCTTGGGAGGGTGTAAGTGTCCAGGAATTCATCCATTTCTTTTAGATTTACTGGTTTATTTGCATAGAGATGTTTGTAGTAATCTCTGATGGTAGTTTGTATTTCTGTGGGATCAGTGGTGATAGGCATTTCATCATTTTTTATTGCATCTATTTGAATCTTCACTCTTCTTGTTTATTAGTGTGGCTAGCAGTCTATTTATTTTGTTGATGTTTTCAAAAAAAAAAAAACAGCTCCTGGATTCATTGATTTTTCAAGGGTTTTTTGTGTCTCTATCTCCTTCATTTCTGCTTTGATCTTAGTTACTTCTTGTCTTCTGCTAGCTTTTGAATTTTTTTTCTCTTGTTCCTCTAGTTCTTTTAATCATGACATTAGGGTGTCAATTTTATATCTTTCCTCACTTCTCTGGTGTGTAAATGCTATAAATTTCTCTCTAGACGCTGCTTCAAATGTGTCCCAGAGATTTTGGTACATTGTGTTCATTCTCACTGGTTTCAAAGAACATCTTCATTTCTGCACTCATTTCATTATGTATCCAGTTGTCACTCAGGAGCAGGTTGTTTAGTTTCCATGTAGTGGTGCAGTTTTGAGTGAGTTTCTTAATCCTGAGTTCTGGTTTGATTGCACTGTGGTCTGAGAGCCTGTTTATTATGATTTTCATTATTTTGCATTTGCTGAGGGGTGATTTACTTCCAATTATGTGGTCAATTTTAGAATAAGCATGGTGTGGTGCTGAGAAGAATGTATATTCTCTGGTTTTGGGGTGGAGAGTTCTGTAGATGTCTATTACGTCTACTTGGTACAGACCTGAGTTTAAGTCCTGGATATCCTGGTAAATTTTCTGTGTCATTGACCTGTCTAGCATTGACAGTGGAGTCTTTGTTTGTTTGTTTTGTTTTATTTAATTATTTTTTTTTAAATTGCATTTTAGGTTTTGGGGTACATGTTAAGAACATGCAAGATTGTTGCATAGGTACACACACGGCAGTGTGATTTGCTGCCTTCCTCCTCTTCACCTATATCTGGCATTTTTCCCCATGCTATCTCTCTCCACCTCCCTACCCCCCGTCCCTCCCCCATTTCCACAGTGGAGTCTTAAAGTCTCCCACTATTATTGTGTAGGAGTCTAAGTCTCTTTGTAGGTCATTAAGAACTTGCTTTATGTATCTGGGTGCTCCTGTATCGGGTGCATTCCTATATATTTAGGATAGCTAGCTCTTGTTATTGCATTAATCTCTTTAGAATTATGTAATGGCCTTCTTTGTCTCTTTTGATCTTTGTTCATTTAAAGTTCGTTTTGTCAGAGACTAGGATTGCAATCCCTGCTTTGTTTTTGCACTCCACTTGCTTCATAAATCTTAGTCCATCCCTTTATTTTGAGCATATGTGTATTTTTGCATGTGAGATGGGTCTCCTGAATACAGCACACTGATGAGTCTTTACTCTTTATCCAGTTTGCCATTCTGTGTCTTTTGATTGGGGTATTTAGCCCATTTACGTTTAAAATTACCATTGTTATGTTTGAATTGATCCTGCCATTTTGATGCTAGCTGGTTGTTTTGCCCATTAGTTGATGCAGTTTTTTTATTGTGACTATGGTCTTTACAATTTGGTATGTTTTTGCAGTGGCTGGTACTGGTAGTTCCTTTCCATGTTTGGTGTTTCCTTCAGGAGCTCTTGTAAGGCAGGCCTGGTGGTGGCAAAATCTCTCAGCAATTGCTTGTTGTAAAGGATTCTATTTCTTCTTCACTTATGAAGCTCAGTTTTGCCTGAATATGAAATTCTGGGCTGGAAATTCTTTTTATAAGGATGTTGAATTTTGGCCCCCACTCTCTTCTGGCTTGTAGGTTTTCTGCCAAGAGATCCACTGTGAGTCTGATGGGCTTCTCTTTGTTGGTAACTTGACTTTTTTTCTCTGGCTGCCTTTAGCATTTTTTTTTCCTTCATTTCAACCCTGATGAATCTAACAATTATGTGCCTCGGGGTTGCTCTTCTCAAGAAATACCTCTGTGGTGTCTCTGTATTTCTTGTATTTGAATGTTGGCCTTACTTGCTAGGTTGGGGAAACACTCCTGAAGAGTGTTTTCAAACTTGGTTTCATTCTTCCTATAACATTCAGGTACACTGATCAAAACTAGATTTGGTCTTTTCACATAATCCCATATTTCTTGGAGGCTTTGTTCATTCTTTTCACTCTTTTTTCTCTGATCTTGCCTTATCACTTTATTTCATTGAGTTGATATTCAATTGATGATATCCTTTCTTCTGCTTGATCGATTTGGCTATTGAAATGGTATGCTTCACAAAGTTCTGCTGTGTTTTTCAGCTCCATCGTGTTTTTTATGTTCTTCTCTAAGCTGGTTATTCTTGTTAGCATTTTTTCTCTAATATTTCTTCAAGGTTCTTGGTTTCCTTGCATTGGATTAGAACATACTCCTTTAGCTCAGAGAAGTTTGTTGTTACTCACCTTCTGAAGCCTGCTTCTGTCAATTGGTCACACTCATTCTCCATCCAGTTTTGTTCCCTTGCTGATGAGGGGTTGTAATCCCTTGGAGAAGAGGAGTTCTGGCTTTTGGTGATTTTAGCCTTTTTGTGCTGGTTTCTTCTTATCTTCATGGATTTATCCACCTTTGGTCTTTGAATTTGGTGACTTTTGGATGGGGTTTCTGAGTGGAGATGTCCTTTCTGTTGTTGTTGAAGCTCTTTCTGTTAGTTTTCCTTCTAACAGTCGGGCCCCTCTGCTGCAGATCTGCTGAAGATCCACTCTAGACCCTGCTTTCCTGAGAATCACCCATGGGGGCTACAGAACAGCAAAGATTACTGCCTGTTTCTTCCTATGGTAGCTTCATCCCAAAAGGGTACCTGCCAGATGTCAGCCAGAGCTCTCCTGTATGACATGTCTCCCAGTTAGGATACATGGATGGTTAGGGAACCACTTGAGGAGGCAGCCTGTCCCTTAACAGAGCTCAAGCACTGGATTGGGGGAATCCGTTGCTCACTTCAGGGCTGCCAGGCAGGAACGTTTAAGTCTGCTGAAGTGGAACTCACAACTGCCTCTTTCCCAGGTGTTCTGTCCCAGGAAGGTGGGGACTTTGTAAGCCCATGATGGGCTGCTGTCTTTTTTTTCTGAGATGCCCTGCCCAACAAGAAGGGAATCTACTTCGCTGTCTGCCTGCAGAGGCCTTGATGAGCTGTGATGCTGGGCTCTGCCCAGCTGCTGTGTAAACTTCCCGGCTGCTTTGTTTACACAGACAATGTTGAAACTATCTACCAGAGCCTCAGCAATGATGGGCGCCCCTCCCCCCACCAAGCTCAAACATCTCAGGTCGAGTTCAGACTGCTGTACTTGTTGTGAGAATTTCAAGCCAGTGGATCTGAGACTTCTGGTCTTCATGGGAGTGGGACCCTATGAGCCAGCTCACTTGGCTCCCTGGCTTTAGCCCTCTTTTCCAGGGGAATGATCAGTTCTGTCTCGCTGGCATTCCAGGCGCCACTCCACTAAAATGGCTGCCCAGTTTTATGCTGGAAACCCAGGGCACTGGCATTGCAGGCACCAGAGGGAATCTCTTGGTCTGTGGGTAGTGTAGGCTGAGGGAAAAATGCAGTATCTGAGCCAGCGTGCTGGAGTGTCTGGAAAAATCCCTAATGGCTTCCCTTGATTGGGAGAGAGAGTTCTCCAGCCCCTTGTGCCTCCTGGGTGAGGGAATGCCCCACTCTGCTTTGGCTTGCCCACCTTGGGCTGTTCCCACTGTCTAAGCAGTCCTGATGAGATGAACCTGGTACCTCAGTTGAAAATGTGGAGATCACTCATCTTCTGACGCACTCTGTCTCGGAACTGCAGACCAGAGCTCTTCATATTTGGTCATCTTTGTGGAAGCCTAGTTATTTTTTTCTTCCGCTGCCAGCTTTAGAGTTTTTTTTTTTTGTTTGTTTTCCTTGTTCATCTGAGTGTGAATTTAGATCACTAGTTTGAGATATTTCTAATTTTCTGATGTTTCCATCTAGTCTTATAAACTTTCCTCTTAACATTGCTTTTGCTGCATCCCAGGGATTTTGGTATATTGTGTCTATATTTTCATTTGTTTGAAATATATATATTTTTTACTTCTGCCATAGTTTTATTGTTTACCCAAAAGTTATTCTGGAGCAAGTTGTTTAATTTCCATGTAATTGTATGGTTTTCAGTAATCTTCTTGGCACTGATTTCTATTTTAATTCCACTGTGGTCCAAGAGTATTATTGATATTATTTCTATTTTTAAAATTTATTGAGACTCGCTTTATGGCTGAGCATTTGGCCAGCCTCGTATGTTCCATGTACAGAAGAAAAGAATGTGTACTCTGTGGTTGATAGGTAGAGTATTCTGTAAATGTTTATTAGATCCAACTGGTCAAGTACTGAATTTAAGTCTGGAATTTCTGTTATCTATCTAATGTCAGTGGGGTGTTGAAGACCTCAACCATTATGGCATAGCTGTCTAAGTCTTTTCATAGGTCTAGAAGTCCTTGTTTCATAAATCTGGGTGCTCCAATGTTGCGTTTGTATATATTTAGGATTGTTGAGTCTTTTTGTTGAAGAATTGAACCCTTTATCATTATGTAGTTCCTTATTTGTGTCTTGTGTGTGTATGTGTTGTTTGTTCAAAGTCTGTTTTATTTGATATAAGAATAGCAACACCTACTCTTTTTCTGTTTTGCCTGACAGGACTTTCTCCAACCCTTTATTTTGAGCCTATGGCTGTCATTACATTTGAGATGGGTCTTTTGAAGACAGCAAATGAATTGATACTTGTTTATTGTGTTTGTTTGTTTTCTTGAGACAGAGTCTCACTCAGTTGCCCAGGCTGGAGTGTAGTGGCACAATCTAGGCTCACTGCAACCTCCACCTACTGGGTTCAAGTGATTCTCCTGTCTTATCCTTCCACGTAGCTGGGATTACAGGCACCTGCCACCACACCTGGCTAATTCTTAGTAGAGAGAGGGTTTCAGTACGTTGTCCAGGCTGTTCTCAAACTCCTGACCTCAAGTGATCCACCCTCCTCGGCCTCCGAAAGTGCTGGGATTACAGGCGTGAGCCACTGTGCCCAGGCTGATCTTGATTTTTATCCAATTTGTCACTGTGTGTATTTTAAGTGGAGCACTTAGTCTATTTACATTCACGGTTTATACTGATATATGAGGTTTTGATCTTATCATGAAGTTGCTAATTGTTTGCATTGTAGTCTCTAGTGTGCTGTTGCTATATGAAGTCTGTGGGCTACGTACTTAATTTTGATTCTTTTCCACCTTAACTTTACAGGCTTTTTTAAGTTTAATTTATTTTGATCTTAGGATGAGTTCTTAGTTATGTTGTTTGTTTTCATATTTTGCATTTCCCTATATATCCATTTAAGATTATACAGTTTCCTCTGAGCACCTATCTATTTGCATCCCACATATTTTGATATACAATCATTTTATTTTGATTGGTTAAAAATATTTTCTATTTTCTATTAGAATTTCTTTTTTGATCCATGGATTTACAGAATTGTATTTTTTACTTGGAAACATACAGGGAATTTCAGTTATCATTTTTTTCTCCTGGGATCATTTTTCTTTTGCTTTATGAAAAACCATTCTTTAGTGTGAGCCTTCTTTTAATAAATTATCTTGCTTTACATTTTAAAAGGTGTTTATATCAACTTAATTCTTGAAACATATTCCAACTCTATATAGACTTTTAGTTTAGCAAGGTTCTTTTCTTCTTTACCCTTCTGAGACAATATTAATGCTTTCTTTTTTTCCTGGCTTCCATTTTTTCCATTGGGAAATCAGTTTTGAATCATGGTGTTATGCCTTGAAGATAATCTGTTATTATACTTTGATGCCTTCTGCATTTTTTATTACATTATACTAAATATATATTACAAATTATTGTGTAGACTAGATATATAGTAATGTTTGTTGTCATGGAAAGAGCTCAAACTTCTCTAAAATATTGAAATTAACTGGCATTATGTAAAAATTCCAGAGTGTTTTAGGCCAGGTGCAGTGGCTTACCCCTGTAATCCCAGGACTTTGGGAGGCCAAGGTGGATTGATCACCTGAGATCAGGTGTTCAAGACCAGCCTGACCAACATGATGAAACCCCATCTCTACTAAAATCACAAAAAATTAGCTGGATATGGTGGCACGTACCTGTAATCCCAGCAACTTGAGAAGTTGAGGCAAAAGAATTGCTCAAACCCAGGAGGCAGAGGTTGCAGTGAGATGAGATTGTGCTATTGCACTCTAGCCTAGGCAACAAGAGTAAATCTCCATCTCAAAAAAAAAAAAAAAACCAAAAACCAAAAACCCAGTGAGGTTTTTTTTTTTTTATTTTTCTGTTTTAGGTTCCCCCCAGAAACGGCAGTTTTACCCAGTTTTTTCAGCATGCTATAATAACACATGAATTAAAACATATAATTCTTTTAATCGTGACATTATGGTATCAATATTACATCTTTCCTCACTTCTCACGTGGGCATTTAGTGCTATAAATTTCCCTCCAGATAGTGGTTTAAATGTGTCCCAGAGATTCTGGTACGTTGTGTCTTCATTCTCATTTGTTTCAAATAACATCTTTTTTTCTGCCTCCATTTCATTATTTATCCAGTAGTCATTCAGGAGCAGGGTGTTCAGTTTTCATGTAGCTGTGTGGTTTTGAATGAGTTTCTTAATCCTGAGTTCTAATATGATTGCACTGTGGTCTGAGAGACTGTTTTAATTTTCATTCTTTTGCATTTGCTGAGGAGTGATTTACTTTCTGTTATGTGGTCAATTTTAGAGTGAGTGTGATGTGGTGCTGAGAAGAATGTATATCCTGTGGTTTTGAGGTGGAGAGTTCTGTAGATATCTGTTAGGTCTACTTGGTACAGATCTGAGTTTAAGTCCTGGATATCCTGGTTAATTTTCTGTCTCATTGATCTGTCTAATACTGACAGTGGAGTGCTTTACAATTTCCTCTAAGCACTTATCTATTTGCAACCCACATATTTTGATATACAATCATTTTACTTTGATTAGTTGAAAATGTTTTTTGTTTTCTATTATTTCTTTTTTGATCCATGGACTTTTAGAATTGTATTTCTAAAAATACAATTTGTAGACTCCCACTAGTATTGTGTGAGAATCTAAGTCTCTTTGTAGGTCATTGAGAACTTGCTTCATATATTGGGGTTCTCTGGTATCGGGTGCATATATATTTAGGATAGTTAGCTCTTCTTATTGCAATGAACGCTTTACCATTATGTAGTGCCGTTCTTTGTCTCTTTTGATCTTTCTTGGTTTTAAGCCTGTTTTATCAGAGACTAGGATGACAACTCCTGCTTTTTTTTCTCTCTCTCCATTTGCATGGTAAATCTTTCTCCATCCCTTTGTTTTAAGCCTATGTGTGTCTTTGCATGTGAGATGAGTCTCCTGAATACAGCACACGAATGGGTCTTGACTCTTTATTCAATTTGAGAGTCAGTGTCTTGATTGGGGCATTTAGCCCATTTACATTTAAGGTTAATACTGTTTTGGGCAAAAGATATGAACAGACACTTCTCAAAAGAAGACATTTATGCAGCCAACAAACATATGAAAAATAACTCATCATCACTGGTCATTAGAAAAATGCAAATCAAAACTACATTGAGATACCATCTCATTGCCAGTTTGAATAGCTTTCATTAAAAAATCAGGGAACAACCAATGCTGGAGAGGATGAGGAGAAATAGGAATGCTTTTACACTGTTGGTGGGAGAATAAATTAGCTCAACCATTGTGTAAAACACTGAGGCAATCCTTCAAGTGTCTAGAAATGAGATACCATTTGGGTATATACCTAAATGATTATAAATCATTGTATTATAAAGACACATGAACACATGTTCATTGTGGCACTGTTTACAATAGCAAGGACCTGGAACCAACCCAAATGCCCATCAGTGATTGACTGGACAAAGAAAAAATGTGGCACATATGCACCATGGAATACTATGCAGCCATAAAAAGGATGCGTTCATGTCCTTTGCAGGGACATGGATGAAGCTGGAAACTATTATTCTCAGCAAACTGACACAAGAACAGAAAACCAAACACCGCATGTTCTCACCCATAGTGGATGTTGAACAGTGAGAACACATGGACAAAGGAAGGGGAACATCACACACGAGGGCCTATCAGGGAGCAGGGAGGGGGGTTGGGGAAAGGTAGTAGGGGGTGGGGAGAGTGGGGAGGGATAGGGCTAACTTTAGGAGAAATACCTAATGTAGATGACGGGGGAATGGATGCAGCAAACCACCATGGCACGTGTATACCTATGTAACAAACCTGCGTGATCTACACATGTACCCCAGAACTTAAAGTATAATTTAAAAAAAACCCATATAATTATGTTTAGCTCCTTATATGTTTAATTCAATAGTGCTCCACATATATTAAGCATACAATATGTTTTTAAAGAAGTACATTTACGTGACAATAAACTATTATATATGTGAGCCAAAAAAATGGACCTGCCTCACCTTTGAAGAACATACAGATATGTTAGTAATATGCAGAGAGAAGTTGCCATTTTCCTGTAATATAAACCAATAAATCCTCACATTATTTGATGTTAATTTGATGATGTGGGTGTTTGCAAGAATTTTCTGTTTTTTGGTCTGTATTTATTTAAACCAAAATGTCTAATAATTATGCTTTTTAAATTAAGACATAAATATATATTACATATGCCATTAGATTTTATAGGTCAGTGTTGTAAGTTTGATAATGTGTTGGGAGTTAAAGCATATACAACCAATGACAATGGGAATAATTGCCATACTTGGTATTGTTTCCTATATGAATTCTCATCAATAAACATGTTCTGCTTTATTTTCAATAAAAGTAGTCATTGTCAGTAAGCTGTTTTAGTTTGGGGACTTTTGGTGCCTTATCATAACACATAATGTAATTCCTTGTGTTTGCAGATCAAATTCTAACTGTTTCATGGAGGAGATTATTTAATTATCACCTTTTATGATATTTAATTGTATTTGTTTTTCTTCATCTATTTTATGACACCTAGTAATTTTTGGTATTTAAAAAAATATTAAGTAGTTGTTAAATTGTGTATACAAAATGAAAGACATTTTGTCTTATTCAATCCTGTATATTTTTAAATAAAAACGAATACAATTTCAGAAAATTTACTAAGTGATGTGAAAGTGGGTTTGGAAAGAGGACACAAGTTCAATAAGACATGATATCAATCTATCTCTAAACCCTATAATACTTTCTTTTTCTAGTTTTCCGTAGACTCAGGGACCTTTTTACCAGCCAATATCTTGCTTGTTTCCAATATCTCATGCATTATAAAAATGTTGGCAAAATAAACTTTGGGTGGAACAAAAAAGAAATGTTAAATTAAAAGTTACAAATACTACAGTTCTTTTTCTTTTTTATAACAGTTCAATTTTAGTTAATATTTCTAAAATGTATTATAATTAGATAAATATTCACTTATAAGTAAAATTTGATTGCTGAAGGATACTTTTAAAATTTAATGCCAGAAACAGATATATATTTTTTTGCTGAAAACGGACTTTAATAACAGTAAGTATTCCATAACTTACTTTGTTGAATAGGAGTGGTGAAAGAGGGCATCCTTGTCTTGTGTCAGTTTTCAAGCAGAATACTTTCAGTTTTTGCCCATTTAGTGTGATATTGGCTGTGGATTTGTCAAATAACCAATGGAAACCTTGAGAGGGTATTTAAACCACAAGAAATTCTGTAGCAGGACTCTTGAGACCCTAAGCTTGGGCCCACTCCCACTCTGTAGAGTGTACTTTCGTTTTCAGTAAATCTCTTCTCTTGTTGCTTCATTCTTTCCTTGCTTTGTTTGTGTATTTTGCCCAATTCTTTCTTCAAGATGCCAATAACCAGGTGTCACCCTTCAACTGGTAACATTAGAAGATTTTTGGAAGAACATATAGGATTTTCTAGGTATAGGATAATGTCATCGGCAAACAGGGATAATTTGACATTTTTTTTTTTTCGTATTTGGATGCCTTATATATTTTTTTTCTTTGATTGCTCTGACTACATGTTCTATAACTTAAAAGTTAAATTTAATAGTGACCTCTCATATGTAGAACTGAGAGGTTCTGTATATAGCATGAGAGAACTGTATATAGCATTTATAGCTTTTATTAAGAATAGCCATTTTTTGCTTTACTCCTTCTAAAACTCAATATTAACTTTCAAAATTGTTCCATTATATTTTTGCTTAAGTGTTAATAAGTACATTCCTTGCCTTTTATTTCTTTGGAAGTAAAATGTTTATTCTCAATAATCATAGCTTATTGTTTTACTCCAAATGCAATATAATATACTGCGTTCTCACTGATTTCCCACTATGCCTTTTATAAACTTTTATATTATGTATTTCGATAATGTTATTAATTTTCATTTGTTATCTTTCAATGCTAATTATTATCAAAAAGCGTTATGTGGAGAAGAGCAACATCTGATTAATTTACTAAATATTAGGTCAACAATTTTCATTATTTTGCTTCATTAGCAATCTCTTCTTTAAATAAATGTAATATTATTTATAAAGGTAAAGAATCAACAAAATCTTCAAAAATTAACTTAATGATCTTAGGGGAAAAATTCTCAAATTTCTAGTCATTGTTACACTTAGTTAAAACAATTCTTTTGATTAGTACTCAATTAAATTAACAAACTTTTTTGAGTTTTTACTTATTGGTTAACTGTTCCATGAGTTAGCAAGATGAAACAAAAAATGGATAATAGGCTACATTGTCATACTTATGTTTTTCTTATGATAAATAATAATTAAAATTAAATTATTTCCATTAGTGTTTTATAATAATGTCATCTTCTTAAAAACAAGATTGAAAATTATTTCACAATATAGTCTACTTCTTGTTTAATTCTGCCATGATAGAAATCATATTTCTACAATGTTGGTAGCTTATTTTCATGTTGGAGTTTTCTGAGGAGCAACTTGACAGATTGAGATGAATGCTACAAGTTCAGATGAATGTTAGCAATATGTAAAATACAAGCTATCAAAGGACAGCCAAAATAAAATGTCATAGATAATAGCTGCAATCTATACAGTTTTAATTGTTTGTTAAAATTATAAAACATAGTATTTACATTTTAAAAGCTTGATCCAAGTGATCACACCATAGCTTCACCTGTCAGCTTCACTTCAATCTTCTAAAATGTGTCTATCAATATAAAAGTTGTAAAATGGTATTGATTTTACAGTGAGGTGTTCTTATTATCAGGATGTTAATGAATTTGAATTTCAACAATCATCTCTACTTTTCACATTTAAAAAATATTCAATTATTCAGTATTTTTTATCATATTTATTGTGATACAGTTATATTTAGATAGGCTTTAAAGAGTTGAAAAGTTGCCTAACCAAAAATATATTAGCCACAAAGTTGAATTTATTAGATTACTAAACTTCTTATTATAATAAAATATGACTTTAAGTTGATATATACTAATCTAAATGTCTTTTTAAATGATATTCTAGAATTTCAGTGGT